CAACAACACCAAAGCCAACAACAACAACAACAATAACACCTACAGTATAACACCAACTCCAACACCAACACCAACACCAAAACAATTTCCATCAATAACAGCAGCAGCAACAACAATAAGAAGAAGAAGAAGAAGAAGAACATCACCGCTACCGCCACCACCACCGCCACCACCACCACCACCACCATCACCGCCACCACCGCCACCGCCGCCAGCACCAGCACCAGCACCGGCACCGGCACCGGCACCGGCACCAGCACCAGCACCAGCACCAGCACCAGCACCAGCACCAGCACCAGCACCAGCACCAGCACCACGACCACGACCACGACCACCACCACGACCACGACCACGACCACGACCACGACCACGACCACGACCACGACCACGACCACGACCACGACCACGACCACGACCACGACCACGACCACGACCACGAGCAGCAGCAGCAGCAACAACAACAACAACAACAACACGTAACAACAAGCCAACCAGCCACCCAACCAACCAACCAACCCAAACATGCTCGGAGCATGAAAGCTTGCGAAGCGCCGCAAAAGATTTCGAACACGAAGTTTTCGGCATGCGACACATGCGAAACACCACACATACCGATGTTTTCGCTGTGTCCGCGAACGCGGAAAGTGCAAGGGCCGGAAACACCGACACCACCGGTTTGTTCGGCATGACAAACACGTGAAACCTCGTAAATACCGAGTTACACGGCGTGTGGTAGTTGCTCTAAGGCTCCTTGAGTGCTACAGCCAAGTGCCAAAATTAGGTTCCGGAATTACGGTCTAGCGTCCAGCGCGTAAGTTCCGCGTAAGTGTCGCTAAAGTCGACGTGGCCAGATCAGGGCTGATTGTACAAAGCTCAAGAATCTAATCCTTGCGACGGCTTCATCAAAAGACGGCCCAACCCAGCCCTTTCCAGCTATTGTAGCTTTCACCCAGCCCTGAAGCCACCAGGAGCCCTCCCGGAAGCTCTTAACTACAATGCCGGTAAAAGCTTGCCATCGAGAAGCGTGTAGGAACCTTTGCACATTCATTTGGGGCTTATAACTCGGGGTTCCAGCTTGCAAAGTTATATAAATATGCCTCGCGCAAGTGTCGCGAAATTGCTATTTCACGAAGAAGGTCATTCGCCATGTGGGTTTTGCGCGTTGACGTTGCGTTGGAGCCAACAACAACAGAAACAGCAATAACAGCAACAACATCAACAAAGCCAGAAACAGCAGCAACAGCAAGACGACCAACGACGCGACCAAGAACGACACCGCCGCCAGCGACGACGACAATACTAGTAGCAATAACAGCTGCAGCAACAGCAACAACAGCAACAACAACAAACCCACCACAAGACATCACTGCATTCACCGTGGCCATGTGTAGCTTCGCCGTGAAATCGTCGATGCACCTGAGACAGTGAGACAACTCCCGGTAGCTCTTGACAGAGCAACAACTTTGGGGTTGATGCAGACTGCCAACAACACGGTTCAATGATAATAGTATTGATAATGTCAAAGTAAGACAATACACGAACCCCCGTTCCAACATCGTGAGTTTAAAGCACATGGAATGTTACACAATGCCACAACCGCTTAAAACGACGCACGACAGCCCCGATCCACTATGAGAGTTGCGAACGTACAAAAGACAGGTGCCAGAAGCGTTTTGCCGGACGACTCAAGGCATTCATAGTAAGGGTTCGGACCTTCAAGTATGAGAGTTGCAAAATGGTACCAGCACAAATGCAAAATGATTCACTGTAACCCGTGCCCTGATAGTCGTTGCTCAAGA